GTCGTCAGGCTACAGAAGAATACCATACTTCCTCCGTTCCATTAGGCCTAAGACATCGAGAGTCACGCAGACCTATAACAACCCAGCCACAACACATAATTGCGAATAACATGCCTTACCTTAACACAGAATCAACTACAGAGTCCAACGTTTATATTTTTTCTACGAATCTTTGAGTTAACATGTACTAAACATGAGTGGAATTTGCACCGCAGCACCCCCACACCTTGATGCTCATGACAAGAATAGCATGTATAGTTATCTTTATTGAAGTGAATTAGGTTTAAATCGCCATCATGCATGAATGAATGATATTTTTGCAATTTTACACATAATAATCCACGATGATCACATTGCACAAAACTGAAATTGCACGTCAAAATAACACATTGTCAATATTTTTTGAGACCCCCCAAAATTTCACAAATCACGTTTTCAGGGGAGCCCATGTCTTATTAAGGGGAGCCGAGCTCCCCCTAGCTCCCCTGTAGTTCGCACCCTGACCACCAGGGTTGTTGGAAAGCAGATGTCAGGCATATGGTGAAGGTTTTACTTTATCACGGACAAACAATTATGTACAATTTAAATTCTTTTTTTTTAAGATGCAATGAGAAAAAACAATGTATCCATGTTGGAAACAGACAAACAATTCTCAGAAAAAAAGAAACTAACGAGCTTGGTTGGACGGGTTGCAGTTTTTACCATTTGTTTTTGATTTCTGTCACATGATTTGTAGGTGTGTGTTGTGTAATTATGGATTAGAGGAATGAAAAAATTGAAATTAAGAAAAACATGTGGGTAGATCTTACACACCCACTTTTCTGAATGGAGATGTAACACCTGTGCCACCAGTGAAGGTGTCTCAAAACAGCCTGAAGATCTTTGGCAGCTTTCCTGCTTCTTGTTTCATAATGACAGTGGAGAAAGCAACAGATCAAATAATCTTGCAGAGAATATTTTTAACAAACCATGCAACAATCAAAGTAATTGCATAAAAGTTATTTTTATTTTATTTTGAAGTGGGAGAGAAATACAAAAATGTTGCTGCTTCAATTGCACAGGTCTACAGGAATTCCTAGATTATCTTGAATTCCCATAAAGGACAATAGCTACAAAAAAGCTCTTTGATATTAAAACTGCAAATTCATAATGTTTGCAGTTTGTCTTTATAGCCCGGGTTGAGCATGCATTGATGTGCTGGTCCTTGTTACAGTACACATTTCATTGTTTTTGACAGTGCAGAAACATCCATCCACACATCCATCGTCAGTCCGTTCAATACGATTGGTTTGGATTTCAGTGAAAAAGGCAGAAGAATAAAATAAAAGTACTACAGTGATCGTGGCTAGAACTGTGGTGAGGAGTGAGCAGTGAAGGTCAAAGCCAAGTGCGCATTATATGACTCAAGCATATGGCCTTTAACTTGGTCAGATGTGGAGGATCTTTCCCTGTAAACAGGCATGCCAGGCCTTTGTCAGACTCTATTCTGCCAGAAAAGAGGAATGTCCGTAGGTAGGGCGTCAAGCAGGCTTAGCGTGAGACAATTACATAATCTGGTTTTGCTGGAATGTGAAGTGTCTCATAACAAAGACACAGTCAAAACTGACTGGCACATCCAAGATTAAGGATAATGAAGGAGTGAAACTAAATGTACACTAGATATACTAGACGTAATGCATATGATGGTGCACATTATTATTTAGTTAGTGGCACTAAAATAGGTTCACTTTGATAATATTAGATATGCATTTCTATTCAAAAGTTTGAAATCAGTGTTTTATTTATTTATTTATTTTTACTTTTTTTCAGCAAGGATGCATTAAACTGATCAGAAATGACATAATTGACAGTACTGTTACTTAAGCTCCAAATAAGCATATTATATATTTATATAT